TTGCAGAGCAAACTGAGTCAGAGGTAAAGTCGCGTTGCTGTTAGCCAATCAGGGGCAAGATGTCGAACATCAGGAAATAATGAGTAAGATGAGTCGTTTTCTGCTCCCCTCTCCTCTGACTAACTTCTACTTCCTGAAACAGGAGCGCAAGAGCTTTTACCCACAGAGATCGACTCACAAGGCATTCACTTTTACTAAAGACCACTGCAATGTTCTTAGACTTTAAAGTCAAGTGTATTCCTTTCAAAGTAAATGTACTTTTACTTTGAAAGGAAAAGTGTTTGATGTACGCTGGCTTTAGTTTGGACCAGAGCTCAGAAACAAAAATCCAGACATAATTCAGAACTGTTAGACAGGCATATAAATGTCACTTCTGCATAAGTGAATTAATTGCCAGTGGGCACAAACCCTGAAATTTGTATGTCATGCTGTGATTCATGCATCCGTATAATGATGAATTTATATCAACTCATTTACTTAATTAAGAATTCTTAATCTGCTACTTTGAGTGAATGTTAAGAGCTATGCGTCCGATGATGCATGCAGAAAAATAGCTAATTTACCTTTACCGTATTCAATGTTATGTTGTCGTGACAACACAGCTGGGCTATTTAATATGAAAATAATTCATTTAAAAACTCTACAAATAGGGCACAGAAATACAGAAAACTGCATGAAATGAAATGATGAGTGTTCCCTGGACTGAACAGTAAAAGAAAAAAACATGAAAACAGTGAAGGTAAAGAGTTATTCATCATGATCAGAACACTCGGAATGAGTAAACTGGCCTTCAAGGTAAAAGCAGCTCTTTTTACCAAACAAACTGCTCAGGGTTTCATCAGGTTGCCCCAATCCACTAAACTGCTTGACAAATTAATTTACATTGTCAGTTTATTATAGGAAAGTAATCAAAATAGAATCATAACATTTTTATGAACTATATTGTTTTCAGGTTATTCATTTATTGTCCTAAAATGTTGGCTAGCCAAAGAAGCGGACACTTGTGACATCATTAATGTTCCACTTTCTGTTTATGCTCCAAAAATCCCCCAAAAATATGTCACTGACAAAAAACAAATAATCATATTATTTTTCGGGTTTGTCTGGACATCGTATTCATCAATTTCCACAACAGAAAATGTACATGAGAAGCATAGAGATCAGATCATTTAAACATAGAGGCGACATGGTTTGGAGCTTTCTAACTGTGTAACTGCGGGCCGCCATGTTGGATGGGTCACTAGTCACCCTCAGTGCATTTATTAAGCTAGAAAAGTCAATATTAATCCCACATACTCTGCTTTCAATAGTACGCCAGTTATTGGAACCATAGACCGCACAATAACAGGCAGAGTTGCTCACTTGGTGTTCACTCCGATTAAGTTTTGGAGAGTGAGGGACTTATCCAACATGGCAGGGAAGTGGTAACACTCCAACACTCAATGTTGCCTCTACGTATTTTGTTTTCGTTTCATCTTGTTTCCACCTCTTGTGGCAACTAGCTGTTTGTTTCATAAAAGTAGAACATTTGTACTGATTTCTAAACTAGAGACGCTTTTTTTTCTGATCGCTGTTTGAATGTGGGACTACGTTCTTGAGCGTAATTAGAAAGTAGTAAAGCAGCACTCACGTGATCGTTTTAGACCAATGCCGTGCCCGCATTTTGTAAACAGGAAGCCAACATAGCGGTGTACTCACTTCAGAAAATAGAAGCAATATTACCTCACTTATCCCTGTTTTGCCTGTTCCCATCAACTCTTGCTGCTGGCTCAAAACTGACTGGCTGTGTACCTTCAATATTTACAATAAATGTACGTTCATATTCAGAATCTGGAGCTTTGTGATGCTGCTGCAAATCCTTTTTTTTTTTTTTTTTTGAGCAGAGTCAGGAACATTTTCCCTTGAGCGACGTCACTTCAAGTTTCGAGCAAGAGGCGCTGTTTTTAGATGGATGAGCTAGGAAAACCTAGTTGGAACAGTAAAAGCATCTATTTTTTCTCAAAAGTCTTCCTTTTTTTTAATGAAAATATAAAGTTTAGACCTGTTACAATATAAGGACTTCAATATGTGCTTAACGTGGAAGACGCCCTTTAAGGCTAAGCACATATTCATTTCATGGTGATGTTTTTTGACCTCCACACACTTTGTGTCACTGTGGGTTATAATCAGGGATATTTTTTATTCAAATAATTTTCCAAAAATCAACTCACCTTAAAGCTGCTTTCCAGAGTTTTCCTCTTTCAGAAATTATGTATGATTTGTCAGAAATCCGTAAAAGTGATTATCTTATCATGTACTGTGATAGAATATAAGCAATATGTCTTTTTTTTTTTTTTTTGCTAAGCATGCCCCCTGCCCGGCAGAGCTCCGTGCAATAGGAAGCTGAGCGCCGACCAGAACTAACCAATAGCGTTAGACTGCCGCTTAGACGCTTCAAATTTAAGGAATACCACGGCTGATGCAGAGTTGATGAACTTTTCACGGACAAGAAAGTCTCTCAAATATAAATATATGAAAACACAACATGACATGAGAATAATACTCGTAAAACATTGTGTTTTAGCTCTGTTTGTTGGCTACAGAAGCACATTTATAAACAGAAACGTGAAGTTGCCATCTTAAAAAAAACAAAGCAACAGCGTTTTTGTGTGATAAGCTTGTCAGCCACTAGATGTTGTCATTAGATAAGAGAAATACTCCGGAAAGAAGCTTTAACAAAAGCTCCACATGACTTGCTTCAAAACTCTTTTATAGCCGCTCTTCGCTGCTTTTATGGCAACATTTCTGCAACTTTCTGTTCAATTGTGTTTTTAAACTAAACTCTAAATGTTTTAAACAAATATTTTTGTTTCAACTCATTCACTGCCATTAACGATTAAAGTCGTCATTTTAAATCCAACCGTTCACTGCCAATGACGTCATTTGCACTTTTTTTACTGTGTGGGCATCGGAACAAGCCCCCGCACCGTGAGAACAAACATCTCAGCTCTAAAGCCGATCTTCATCCGCATACGTCACACGTCACGTGATCAGGAAGCAGAAAATCTATGTGTTAGGAGATCGTTTTGGGCCGCTGCTGTAAAAAAAAGTCAGGCACAAACCGGAAAAGCTTCTGCCGATCACAATTCAACAACGGCACATACATCAAAATCTCTGCCTTTCATTCAGTTCATATATTCTCCCACTTGTCTCTTGTAAAATATTCAAGGAAAACTGAAAGCGTCACTTAGGGAGTACATAAAACTTAAACTGAAAGTGTTATAACCCTTATTTTAACAGTGTCATCAGTCTAAATTACAGCTGATTAGCTGGATGTTCCTCTTGACAAAGATGGATATGAAGATGAGCTGTTGTTGATGAAAAAGGAGGAATATTCAAAGAGATGCTGGGTCATTTCTCTCCTTCTTACATGTGAGAAAAAAATAACGTAACCTGCATAAAGGAAAGATGAGTCAGGATTTTTCTTTTCAAATTTTGATCAAGTGCAAGGACAACCAAGAGGCTATAGATTAAAGAGGTTAGATTGATTTATCTGTAAAAAAAAAAAAGATGTTAATGATTACATCAGGCACATGAGTTAAATTAAAGCCATAAACATCTGATTCTTGCTCTCAGCTGCATATAGTTCTATAGGGCAGGGCTAAAGGACAAACAGAGAGGGCCGAGGAAACTCTCGACAAACCCACCGTGAACCTCTGTGGCCTCATAAACTCTGTGTACTCCTGCCAAGGAGTTGATTACAGGGAGATTCCATCATGTAAATCCTGCAACTTCACTACGGTGTTCAGCCTGTCACCAGACACCACGCAGCTAAACTGGCTTTTCCCACTCACTTCCAAAAATTCAGCACGCGAGCATTTGCTTGGAATTACCATGACATAAATCCCTTCTTTACTGCTAATGGAGCATTTAGAACGTGCCATTTTTTCAAACAAATACAATCTAATAAAGTGCAATTGTTGGAAAGTTGCTGCTCATTAGTGTCACCTTTAAAACACAACATTTGTGAGTTCAGATTGACTATGTACACACATTTTTGAATTTTCCCATTAAGCATGCTCTACTTTTTGATGTGTCATCCATTTTTTATGAGACATACCCGGCTCTTGGAGGTGATTACTGTCCGCTCAGCTTATCAGATTTGGTTTAGAGGTTGCTAATGGTATGAAAAGGCACATTAAAGCGATAATAAGTATTTAATGAAGTTAAATGTGGTAAAGCTTAGGGCACAGAAGACTGATCTCTTTTTAAGCAAATTATTAAAGATAAACTTTAAATCTACAGAGAAGATATTTAATGGTTCAGACGTCTGAAAAAGTGATTTTTGTCGTTTTTAAAGTTATTTTCAAGATAATCCAGTTTAATCTAAATTGTGGAGGTTTTGGTCTCTGTTTTATTGCTTTTCTATCTTTTCGATCAACATGAGCTCTGTTCAGGATCAAATTTAAAGTGCAGCGTAATTAGCAATAGAACCACATATAAAGTTCAGCTTTTCTATTTTTATTCCCCTCTAATGTCGGTTGTTCACATCTTTTCTTCTCCTTTTATGAGATTCATACGAACATGTTTGCACACATCCTGAGGTCATTATGTCTTATGGTGTGGTTGTGCAGCTGTAAGAGATGGGTGTTCCATTTGCTCCTTCGCCACAGCTCCGGGTGGGGCTCTGCTCAAGTCCAATGAGGAAAAGACACATAAACACAGCTTACAATATCTCCAAATACATGCACATGCATACGATTATTGCATCAGCAGGGATTCGACTCACGGTGAATGCCAAAGGGATTCAAGGACATGTAAAAAAAAAATTACAGATAATAAAATCTGCTCTGATTGGAGCGCTAAAGCTTTAAACCCACACCAGGCCTCAAATCCTGACACTACACAACAAAAGTCCAGCAGAGCTCAGAAAAATACTGTCTGTCATTCAATGCAGATTCTGTGTTTTAAAAAAGTTCTGTGTGTTTGATGTGTCTGTTCTGTTTTTGTTCTCTTCTCAGGGGACTTTTTGCAAGCCACTACACCGAGACACATTACAGGGAGGATGGAAGTGCAGTCACCGGTGCTCACAACTTCACGGTACGGTGGTGCTCGAGTGCTCGTGGTCACGTCAAGTTGGCATGCAGCGATTCTCTGCGGTCACGTTGGATAAAAATGTTCAGGAAGACAGATGTTCATTTAATCTGTATTGTTTTGTGTTAGGTAGGTGGTTCAAATGTACCACTAAAATGAAATTGCATTTAATTAATCTTTTTTTTTTATGTGACCCAGTGGTTATTTTGACGTTTGGCCATTGCTGAACTGAATGTCTATCCTTTGGCCCATTTGATGATAAGCCGGACTGCTTTTCAGCCAGTATTCCCATCAGGATTTGTCATAAAATCCTCTTTTAGGTCCGAGGGTTTGTTTTGTTCTGTGTATCTCCGATCCACATGCAGCAATGTGTTAACAACACTTCTGAAGATGAATAAAAGATGTTTTTTTTTTTTGTTTTTTTTTTTTTCATTTAGAGATTCTAGTGCTTGTCAAGTTTACTCACTGCAGCACTTTACTGATTGAAATCGGTTTAAGGGGCTCACAGAAAAAAACTTGACAATTCTTTGATATTTTTACCCCACTTGACTTTAGATTGTCATTTTTGCACTCGTTCCAGGCTAGAGAGTCTTTCTTTCTTCTTTTTTTTGACATTATTGAAACCTGTGATTTATGAAACTTAGATTATTTTTTGTAACAATAGTTGATTGCGTTTTGCACTTTTGTTTCTCGCTTTGACTGAAAATCGGGGCATTGAACTGAACAGCTGTGAGGACGTTTTTATGGATTGCTCTTAGCTAGGAGGAGCAGTTTAGTAGTTTGGCACTGACCATCCTCTCACTAGCAGTCCACCACACAATCTCTCACCTTTAATTTTGTGTTGGAGTTTCTAACAGCTGGTTGTCAAAAGGTACACTGTATTGTCTTAGATAAGCTCCACTGAGCTGCACAGCTTTAGCATCTGCTGTCACTAAACTCCGCAGTCTGTCAGGTATTAAACAAGGAATTAGTGGAAAGCAGTAAAATGTAAACAAACTCTACTTCTTAAAGCTATAATGTAATATGGGAGATGACGGGGACAAGCAAACTTTGTCCTGTTAATTAGAAAGATACACACATTAGCTTCATATAAATTAATTAACATAGATATTAATGGGGTTAGTAAACTCTTTGACTAGGGCTGGGCATTATGATGAAGTTAGATAATAAGGATTAATGTGAACAGAACATGTTTCCATCAGGACTGTTTCAGACGTGACCACTCTAAGCCTGTTCACTGCTTAAATTGATGAAGCAAAGTCAGTAAGGCTAAATATGATGATTATTTTTAGCTTTGCTTTATGAACATGGTTTTATTGTAAGTTTATTCTAATTTATTGCCATCTGTGGTAATATGTTGGCATTAATAGCACATCTTAGCAAAAAGCCGCCAATAATAGTAATAGTTTCAGTGGTTTCCATATTTTCAGCCGTATGCAAGGACACGTGGAAGTTTGAGGACCCCAGGAACATTTAAAAATATTCCTCACAAATGTCACTGTTGCAGTGATCCACCATTCGACACGCATCACTTTTATTCAGCTTTGTTCGTTCCTGATTTGATTAAAGATAAAAACTAGGGAACAATAACTGGCCAAAGTCTCCTGTCGTGACTTTAAAAAGGTTTAAAGCTGATCCAAGATGAGGGTAACAAGTCTTGCTTCCGCTTGCACCTCTTGAAAAACATTCACCGCTGCTGCCCGTTGTTTTCTTTTGAGAAAGGTGAGTTAATCTAGGTCAGGCTAAGCAGAGTGTCGCTCTGTATTTATAGGACTGTCGGTTCAGTTTCCACCTGGCTCACTAACCTACACTGAACTTGTCTAACAGAAGTATTTCCTACTGAGAGTCGGTGTTTTGGATGAGAAATGGTCAGCGTACTCTCTGGTGACAGTTAATTTAGAAGCTGCTGGGCAGTAAATGGAGGTCTGCATCCCTCTTAACAACAGCCACTTCCTCCGTTCTCCTTATTCTCAGACAAGAATATATTTTTGTCCATGTCTGAGGAGGCTTGAATAAATTCCCTTTTCTTCTACCAAAACACTCTGATGGAAAAATGAAGGATAAGCCATTATCATATTACTGTCACCTTGCATGCATGTCAGCTTTTCTGCTTCTCCCTTCAGCTACATAGTTTGCATTAATTTCAAATGGCCTGTTTGTACGGAGATGCAGAGGTGGGTGGTGGGGGAAATTGCTCTGCAGCACATCCTAATTGAAATGAACGTGAACCGGGCAGCATCAGCGTAGTTTGAGTGTCTCATCCTCTTTTGCTCCTTTGAAGTCCTGCAACAGGCCACTCTGTTATTTTTAATGGTTTAGTGGTTGACTCAAAAACCATTATTAAGTGATTATTTGGTATTATAATCGGTCACTCTGAGCTTTTCATGCAGGCTGAACATGAAAACAGTCTTCTACACCTATCTCCTGTGTTAGCTTCTGCAGCTGGTTTTGAAAATCCTCACATATCTATGTCACACTGTGAATTTGCATTCATGGCCCTGCCCATCTTGGCTCGTGTCCTCCCATGGGAAGTTTTTTTTTTATTATTTTAGCAGCAATTTTAGCAGGTATTGATTTACACTAGAGCACTGCAAATGTAATGAATAAACAAGTAAACCACACCTTTAAAATAATGCACTTTTAGTCATTAAATGAAGTGTTTTCATTTCCAATATGTTTTTTTTCTCTTGTGTTAACATTCTCTTTTAGAATAACTGCTACTACCACGGGGAAGTGCAGGGGCATCCGTACTCTGATGTCACCCTCAGTGCCTGCCCGGACCTTCGGTGAGACACACAAGACTCGTTTTGTATTCAAGCAGCATTTGAAAGCTGCCCTTTAGGTGCTATTTGCCACAGCAGAGTTTATATTTACTTAAGTCACTCAGCGCGGCAGCCTGTCCTCTTTAAGCCCCTTAAGGGTGCTGTCAGTAAGTTGGTGTGTGGCTCGCAGGAGTTGGAGAAAATGTCAAACAAATGTCTTTGTTCAAAGAGAAATCCAGTATATATCTACTTTGATTTTTGCAGTAATTGACATCTGAGTGTTGCTAAAAAATAAAAACCCAAATCTGCTTTGAAGTTTGTTAAAGTGGACAAGTTGTGACATTAACAGCTTCATCTCTTAATTTATTTATCAGCAATGAAGCGGATTGTGTTTAGTTTGCCTTGATAAGCTTTTATCAACACAGCAGCTGCTAATTAACACGGAACGTTTTGCTTTTCTGCTGGTTATGTATTCATCTGAGATGAAAGATAAAATCATGTTATTGGAAAAGAAAAAACACACATACTGCACATAAAGAGTCTTGAGTTTTGATGCCACTGAGCCGATACGAGCTTTTAAAAGTTTATTTTATCAACCTGTGGTTTGATGAAAACATCTTTAAGTCTTTTATTTGGCCTCAGTGTAAGTGGGCTCAAAGACAAAAGTCTGCTTTTTCCATTAGAGCAAGGGATCTCCAATCACTTCCTGTTTTCAGAAACGTCTCATCCTTTGAAGTTTTGTTTTCTTTCTTCGGATGCTTTCTCTGCAGAGGCTTCATTGCACTTGAAAACAAGACATTTATCATTGAGCCTGCATCTGGCCATGACGCCGGGGTCCACTTCATCTACCGAGTGGAAGAGCTCAGACTGACAACCGGAGCTTGCGGCCATGGCTTCAACATGTCGTCTGTTGCCACGGAAAACCACATCAAAAGCCCCTTCCAGTCCTTCCACACAAGGGTGAGTTCAGAGCTCTATTACCACTGTAACACTATTAAATATGACAGTACAATGCCATTTAATCATCATTTTTTTTATTGTATTTCGTCATCAAACATATCTGGCAGTATTCCCGTTCAGCTTACAAAGGATATTAGGCACTTGACCAAAGATGAGGGTATTGGCCATTACGCCAATTTGGAAAGGCTCCCTCGGGGTGTAGCTATGAATTTGACACTCGTTTTATTTGTGTTAGGAGCCCAGGATTGAAGGCTGGTACTAAAGGTTTGGCTGATTATTTGCATGAAGCAGGTGGAGCATCCATCTGTCACTATTACCGAACATTAAAAAAACTCCCATTCCAGGCAGAGTGGGGCTAACCCACATACAGAAGGTAATGGCCCCAGACTTATACACCATCCTTCTGCATTACCACATGCTAGCTGACTGTGACTGAACAGTGTGTTGTATATCTGCACACAAAAGTTAAGTGTAGAAACTGCTTTGTTGTATCTAAGCACAAAAATCTCCCAGATGGCGTTTAGACCCTATTAAATATTATGACTCCTAATGTAAATAATTCATATTATAAGTAAAGAAGTAAGCACAAACATGAGATGCCATGTTATTTGACTTCTTGTGTTGTCTTTATTTTGTTCAAAAGGTCAATTTCTCATAGCCTAGACAAACCATTTCAAAAAAGGGTGTATTTGCTTCTTCTTCTTCTTCTTCTGTGGTGAATGGCGGCCTGCCCCATGACTGATTCATGTAGCGATGAATATGTCAAGTTGTTTGTTGCTCTGATTGGTTCTACCACTGTCCAATTACGCTCGGAGACAGATTGAAGGACCGGACATTCCACTTCACATTCAAGCAGTTTTCTGGGTTAGAGGCCGACCGATATGTTTTTTTTTTAAGGCCAATGCCGATTTTTAAAGAATTTTTTTTGCCGATGGCCGATATCTAAAGCCGATTATTAAGGCCGATATATATATAAACGTTTTAGCTGCACACTGATTGTGAAAGACAACTGAACACTCACTGTGTGCAATACAAAATAAATAAGTCAATAAATCTCTTAATATTTGTTGAACAATTATAAAATTATAAATAAACTCAAAACATAAAAAACTGTGTGTTGGGGTTCTTCTAGTCCTTTCTTCAGTCTAGTAGTGGCGGCAGTTGGCCACGCAGGTTCCTGATTTTTAAAAATTTCTTTCGTCTTTTAAAAATGATTTCGGCCGGTGGCCAACATAGAAAAATTTGAATACATCGGCCTGATATATTGGTCAGCCTCTACTATGGGTTGTGGCAGTACCACAGATGAATTGTATAGAATTGGTTGCCAAACTACGTTTTTCGACACCTTTTGCAGTAAGGGCAATTGGAGAAAAACAGAAAAAATTTTTTAAGACATTCTGATATTTTCAGAAACGTGTGTATTAGAAACTTTTATTTTGAAAAACTAAAAAAGGTTCTGGGACTGACGCTTTTGCAGGAGCAAACATTTACAAGGACATTTTTTTCTCATTTCAATGTCAACAAATAAAATTGTTGGAATCAGTCACTGGCTGATGAAAATCTAAATTTAACCTGAAGCCAGATCACTTTTGCATCACCATCAGTGCTGTTGAAATTAGATTCCTGCATACAACAGAAGCCCTTTAACATCCCCAATTGAGTTGTATTCTTAGCATAATGTTTGACATTTGGTCATTATCATTTTGAATATTAATATTATTATTGAAAATGGAGTTGGTCGTATTGGGAAGGAAGGTGGATCTGATTGATATTTCAACAAAATGCATCAATTCCACCTTAAAGGTCTATTTTGCTGTGAATTTATATTTTAAAAGACCACTAGCCCATCAGTCAGACAGAGCGAACCCAGCTAATGTTGTCATAACGACGTCTGGGAAAAGTACATTGGCTTCGTAATTAATGAGAGAAGTTAACGCTTTTCAAATTAAGTCTTCTGGATCCAAATATGTTGGAGGCCTATCTCATAGAGGCAATCAGTGTTATTGCTCTGCAAAGCTTTCTTATTGGCATCACAACTGACAGTGGATGATTGTTCATGTGGTTTATGGCCTTTTCATCTTGGTATGGAGTCTAAACGGTGTCCATCGAGGTGAAAAGTGAGCAGATTTTTGCATTTTTCTTCTCAACCATTACCAGAGCATTATCGGAATAGGGGAAATGCACTGGATCATTAAACCCTTCAGATCTCCCTAAAATTGTAGAAGTTGGTTGCTTTTGAGACTCAGCTGCAGCTTTTAGTGTCCTGTAACAATCTTGAGACTGATTTCTATGGAGCTAGGATTGGGACAATATTCAGCGTAACTTGTACCAAGTTTTGTAACTTCTAACATGTTTCATCACATGCAAATTTGGATTCGTAACTTGTAACTTTAGTTTTCTAACTTGTAATTCTCAATTTGTACTTGTATTTCTTGTTTTGTAACAGGAAATTTTTATTTTGTACATGTATTTTTTATTTTGTAAAATCAAACTTTTATTTTGTACATTTACTACTCATTTTGTAACATCAAACATTCATTCAGAAACATGAAACTTTCGTTTTGTAACTAGCAGACTTCCAAATTGAAAAAATCAAGGTACAAGTTTGAAATCAAAACTCTCAAAACACGCATTTCATTCTACAGGTACAAACCTCAAATCTACAGTTACGGATATTTTGTCTTGATTCTAGCGTCAGTGGGAGGAACATGGGTGGAGCCAATGAGAGCACGAGTCTTAGCTACCCGTCACGTATCTCAAATTCCTGTCCAATCATTGGGAGAGGAGGGCAGGGTTCTGTCAGAGCTGTAGCGAGAGTTACGACACGGAATGCGGGAGTCACGTGGTTCATAGCTTCGAATAGTTCCAAACAGCCCCCGCTGCTGCATTGACTGCAGTTCATTTTCAGTGTTTTGGAAGGATTTTCTCCGGTAAGTTGATGAAATGTCATCATTTTGTTGCATTGTGAAGCGTTAGCTAACCGCTTCGTACCAAAATAAGCCAACGATGATATTTTATGTTGCCAGTTTTAGCTAGATAACCTTTAATGAGCTAACTGTGTGCAGCTTGTTGATTGTGAGCAGGAGGACGAGCTGCAGACGGGTTGATTTCAGTTTGTTTGATTCTACGTTTTAAAAATATTCCCCACAGTTTGAAATAGGTTATAAACTTTTTACATTATTAGTTTTATTTGGGATTTTTTGTACAATACGTTGCTGGTTGCTGTATCAACACGAACATGCATCAGAAATGGAAGCCACCCCCTAGCCGGCCGAGCCCGGGACCCAGCGACCTGGGACCCAGGGGCGACCACCCCCGCCGGGGACCCAGCAGAGCCCAGGTACCCAGACCTAGATTCTAAGGAAAAGTAAATTGTATCAATTGTAAAAAGATGTGGTTTTTTTCTTCTTTTTTTTCTTTTCCATATGGTTTGGTGGTTTTTGGTGACTTGTACCATTTTGTTTGTTTTAATGTAGGTTTTGTGTTAGATTTAGTAAACAAGTAAAAATTACTTGTATAAAGGGGTAGGGACATATAAGTTTCCACTTCAGCCTACTCTACTACTGCTTATATTAGAGCAGTGTGTTGCATTACTACATCAAATTTATTGCTATAGTATATTATAGTAATGCATGTGGTCTAAATGTGTTCTACAGTGTGTTAGGACTGTCGTGTTCCTGTAATGTAGAACAGTCACGGGTGTTTGTCTTCCTACAAATGCTTGGAAAAATATAAATAGTCTACTTTGTGAAGGAGTTAGTACATAATATATAATATAATATATAATATTATTCAATAATTACCACAAATCGCCAGGGGAAATGTGATTATATTAAATTTTTGTGATTTGTCCCACCATACACCGTTCAAACTGACTCACGGCGCTGGGATGTTTGGAACTGAGAGCTCCATGAACCACGTGACCGCGAGTCAGCGAGTTCAAACAGTGTCATAACTCTCTCTTTCTACAGCTCTGACAAAACCCTGCCCTCCTCTCCCAATGATTGGACAGGAATTCGAGAAACGTGATTGGTAGCTAAGACTCGTGCTCTCATTGGTTCCACCCAAGTTCCTCCCGCTGACGCTAGAATCGAGACAAAAAGATCCGTAACTGTAGATTTGAGGTTTGTACCTGTAGAATGAAATGTGTGTTTTGAGAGTTTTGATTTCAAACTTGTACCTTGATTTTTTCAATTTGGAAGTCTGCTAGTTACAAAATGAAAGTTTCATGTTTCTGAATGAATGTTTGATGTTACAAAATGAGTAGTAAATGTACAAAATAATAGTTTGATTTTACAAAATAAAAAATACATGTTCAAAATACAATGTTCCTGTTACAAAACAAGAAATACAAGTACGAATTGAGTATTACAAGTTAGAAAACTAAAGTTACAAGTTACGAATCCAAAGTTACATGTGATGAAACATGTTCGAAGTTACAAAATTTGGTACAAGTTACGCTGAACATTGCCCCAATCCTAGCTCCATAGATTTCAGGCTAGGAAACCAAAAGCAAGTAGAAATCTAGACAAACCTTAGCAGTAGCAACAAGATTTTTGAAGAAGGATCAAGTGAAAAACAAACTGCAGAATATTCCTTTGTTGTGCAAATATGAGTTCCTGTCTAACTTATCTCAATGCTGTTTGCTTTTTCAGCATAAAAGGCATACTCAGAAGACGACCAAATATGTGGAGCTCATCATTGTTGCAGACAACAGAGAGGTAATCCGCGTGTTTTACATCAAATCACAAATGTTGCATTTGACCAACAGCCACCGGGCAATGACAACAAAACAAACCTTTAAAATTGAAGCAGCCCTTCATGGTGTGAGCAGAGAAAGGCAGGGTAAGCTGCTGTAACTGTTGAGCAGGTCCCGATGGAGCTGCTAAATGAGGTGAGTGTGCAAAAAAACAAGGTGGTCCTCTGGCTAGAGTTTTTTTTTCTTTTCCAAGGGAAGTTGTGTTTTCAGTTCGCCAGCAGAGCAGACAGGAAAACGGCATGTAGATACAAAGGAGTCTTCCTTAAACACCGACAACCTGATTGTGGGGTTTCCTCTTGACAGTTTTCTGCTAATCTCATTAACCTGAGCAGAAAGGAGGGAAGCAGAAATGTTAAAAACAACACGAGGGATCTAATTTGTGGCTGAGTTGAGATTTGAAGTTGAGAGTCGGTGCAGGTGAGCCCAGTAGGAAGGAAATAGATGGTCTGCCTTTACTTAGGGTTTGCATCCAAAGCTTTAGTTCCTGTTACATCTGCCAGTATACCTGCTCCCTGTGATCGCGCCATTCGTCTTTCTACCAGGAGGCTTTTTCAGATCCAGATGGTCACAGCTTGACAGCCTGCTGAAAAACACATATTGCTTGTGAATATTTTGGTCAGCCCTTTATACTTGTGTGTTTCCTGTGTTATTTTCTTGGTGTTAGAATGGGGAAAATGATGGTCTCACTTACGTCGTCATTACACGCCTGCCACTCGTGGATTAAAATTCCCATTTGTACAGCTGCTAACGTGCAATTTTGTTTTCAGTTTCAGAAACAGGGGAAGGACTTGGAGAAAGTGAAACAGAGACTCGCGGAAATAGCCAATTATGTCGACAAGGTAAAACATCTTCTCCCCTAATGCAAGAGCGGGATAAATCCCTTTTTAAAATAGAAATATCGGTGGCAGAGGAGATTAATAGGGTGACTGTGATATATTAATTTCCCTTTAAAGCAACTTCCTAAGACACGCACCAGGCAGATGGATTTATTTTAAGGAAGCATGAATTTAGAATTTAGAATGGAAAAAGCATGTACTGGTCATGTTTAAACAGGAGGAGGGAGAGTTTAAGGGCTGCTGCAGTAGCAATTTATCGGAAACGTTATAAAACTGCTTCTCACATCTTCAGTTCTATAGGGCCCTTAATATCAGGGTGGCTCTGGTGGGTCTGGAGGTGTGGAGTGACTCTGACAAATGTCCCATCACTCAAGATCCCTTCACCACGCTGCACGAGTTCTTGGACTGGAGGAAAGTGAAACTTCTGCCGCAGAGGCCCCATGACAACGCTCAGCTCATCAGGTGGAGACTTGGTTTGACAGGAAATTGAGTTGATAAAAGCCCAAGGCTATTTTTTGAAACTTTCACCCAAAAAAAATGATATCCTCACATTCTGATGGTAACAGCTCCACAACTATAAGAACAAAGCAAACGGCCCTGAGCTAAATAAAAAAGATACTGTTTTTGTTTTATGTTATTTTTAACACAGAAGGAGAGGAGATTTTACACTGAGTTCATAAAAGCTGTGTTGCAATGGAAATCTTTGCAAAAGGAAATAGGGGCTATGTCCAGATATAACAGAATTTTTGGTTTTTGGTGCTCCTAAAAAGGCTGATGTTTAATAAAATAAAAATAAAAATTCAGTATTTACCATAAAAAGTTCAAGATAAAGTGGGTAATTTTTATATTTGGAAACAGCACATATCTATAAGTGCAGCATTAGCCACAATCCAATAATATTAGCTTGAACAGAATATCATTTAATTGCAGTCAAACATCTCTTCAGAGGAAAATTTACACCAATCAGCTACTTCTTACTTTTTGTGGTGCATTTAAAAGCACTTAAATAGTATAAAAGGTTTGTGCTACTGTTGCTCACTGAGAAGCTGCACATGTCAAGTAAGACTAAAACACAGACCACTCCAACCATAGCTTTTTAATCTACTTCCTTCTTTTGCAGCGGTGTTTACTTTCAGGGCACCACTATTGGCATGGCGCCAATTATGAGCATGTGCACCATGGAGCAGTCTGGAGGCATTGTCATGGTGAGTAGAAAGCCCTCCTCTTCCTCCCACCACCCTCCCTCTCCTCTGTGTAGCCTGATTGTATCAGTGAAGACATTGTCCAGATTCAGCAGACTAAAACAGTCCACATGTGATTCACAAAGGCAAGGCATTTTCCGATTAGGTGCTTATGGACAGCTCTGCCAGAATGATCTGCCTAATGATGTAATATTTGTTCTGGCAGCACAACTAGACCACAAACACGCACTTGCACAAAACACCTGATATGTCCAAGCATGTTACTATTGGACTTGATAGGAAGTTTTAACCTAGTTTAGTTTGTGTAAAGTTGTAGGGGTTTTTTCCCCCCTGCATGTATATCAAGAGCAGATGACCTGGGAATTAGTGGTGCTTTTTAGCCCTTTGTGTTTTCTTCAAGACGTTCTGGAAATTTCCCCCGTAGCTCTTTTTAGCAATCATCCGAATAAACGTGCATTAAAGGTCTCGTTTGCTGGGTAACCGTGTAATACTCATTCTGTTTGAAAAGCGATCGGTCACACGATTAGCCGCAGACAGGAAAAAGACAGGGAAATGCTTTGGTGTGAAAAAGCCAGTTTCTTCTATGTCACATGGAAAATTTGCTTTTGTGGCCCCACCCACTTTGGCGTAGCACTGCAGAAGGCTGTGTTGATTTTGCAGCCAGGAGAGAGCAGAGCATGTCTCGGCTAGTAGAATTAAATGGTAAATGACCTGTATTTGACATAGTGTGTCCTAGAGTCCTTCACCCACGCACACACACATACACTCCCTAGTGGTGATGAGTTACAATGTTGCCACAACTGCCCTGGGATGCACTGACAGAAGGCAAGACTGCCGAGGACTGAAACCACCTGTCCCTCCGACTACTGCCAGCAGGCAAGGTGGGTTAAGTGTCATGCCCGAGGACACAACAGCAGCGTTCTCGGTCTGGAGCCGGGCTCGGCTCTTACAACCCTCCGATAACTGGACAATCCGCTCCACCTCCTGAGTTACTGCTGTCTTAATAGAAGCTCACGATTAGCAATAGCAACAACATGGCAGAACACATTCACGCACATCAACACATCAATGCTGCATTTTTTTCATTCAAGAAAACACGCGAACAAAGGCAGCAGAAGAGTTGCATTTCTGTTAGCCAATCAGAGGGCAGATATGTCGTTTCCCCCGCCTCACCGACACATTTCTAGACCATGAAACAGGGCTGCTAGAGCCTTTTTTCTGCAGATATGCCTCACAAGGCATTCATTTATGTTAGAGAACACAGAAACATCATTTTTCAGTTGTTGAGTTTATTATTTGGACTGCAGTTGTCTAATCAATCATCTTCAACGGGGAAATATTTGCCTAAAGTGGATGTTGACCTTTCAGGTTTTTGATTCAACAATGAGGTTGGTTTCAGATTTTACCCTTTAGTTGTTGTGCAGATATTTTTTCTGTCATTAGCTGAATTTTTTCATAAGCTGGGCAACGATAAACACATGCACTCTTCTGGATTGAGAACAGGCATCTGTGCCCAAGTCATTTCATTTCACAACATTTCACCTGTTGTTAAGAGTGCGCTGAGATCACTCACGTCAAGACCAGATTCACTTCTAGTGGACACTTCTGTAAATCACAGCCCACCAGCTTTTGAGCACACCTGCATTTCCATTTTTATGAGAAGTGATAAATTGTTTATTTCTGGTCCTCACAGAGTTCAAACACTGTAATAAGAATGCATTTTCTTTTTTTCTTTTTTTTTTTCTTTTTTACAAAACTAATGCTCAGAGGAGATTTGTCCCAAGCACTTTAGATCTATGCCAAATCACAAAGTGGTTATCGGTCCAATGCCATTATGGCTCAGCCCAGATGTGCATGCCCCCAATAATAGATGTGTTCTCTGCTGGCTGTTGCTGTGATGAGGCTTTTCCAGATGTTTGTCTTCCCCATTATGTGCATAAAGCAGATGGTCTGGATCAAGATTAAAGGGCCACATAAGGAATGAGAGGGGCGGTCAGATGAGATGATCTATTTCTCAAATCATACTGAGAGGCTGTTCTTGGTTGTAAACAGCTCATAATTTCCTCTCCATCACATTCACACTGGAATTCTGCATGGATTCTGATTCCTGCTGTCTGGTGAAAGTGCTCAGCTGTAAATTTAATACATGTGGTCTAGATGCACACTTCACTGTTAAACATGGCGGAGACGTTTCCCATCCTTCCCGCTACAAGGCGGGGTGCAGCTCCCATGACGCTCCTCTTTAATCAGAGCAGGAAGTGGCTCTGCTTGCCCTCAACTGTGACTGATGACCTTGTTTTTTAGGGATTTGTGTGATTTTCTCATGCCAGAAACCCACAGTACAGTAAGATGTACAGTAGAGTGTAGGTGGTCCATTTCTGCTTATCTGGTAGATTAGAATTTTTTTTAATTATTCATAAAAATGTAAATTGTGTTTGATATGCAACCATCCTGTCACCGTATGTGCTGCTTTTATCTGTAAGGTGGAGGTGTGCTCCTCTAGGCTGTGTTTGCATTTCATTTACCCTATTGTGTTTGCTTTTAGAAACCTACATGTTGACAAAAGTTGGAAATGTACAACTGGCTTGGGTCTGAACAGCAAAAGTTGGTGTTTACTAAGCTGATCTCAGTAGTTGCATATGTTCTCTAAAAAACTTAGACTAAGCATGTTTCTTTCATTAATAAATGATTCAAATATTTGGGATCCTTATGAGGACTTATAATCTTCCTAATATCCTTGTATTAAATGTATGTTTTTGCTGCAGCGTCTTGAATCATCTTCCACAAATTTTCTCCATTTCCAGATTCACCTTGACACACCACGGCTGCATAACCTCATTTACCCCACCTTATCCCATCTGTGAAACTTGTTAAAACTGAAACTTCCACTGCTGTCTTGTCATTATCCATCTCTGTCTGCTAGCTGAAGGGCACTTGTCTTGCTTATCGGTGCAGTCACACAGTGATTGGCTTATGCAGCTTTGTCGTCTCCATCGGCAGTTGGTGTGATTGGGTCTGCAGGGGCGGTGGTTTGACAGATTAAATCAGGTCTACATGGGGAAGATCAATAATAAAAAATAATGTGAGAAGAACTATTAGATGTTTGTATATATATATTTTTTGAGTCTGTTATAAGTTACTTTCACATATGAAGCATGTTGGACTTTTTCTTTGTCCAGGATCACTCTGAGAACCCGCTGGGTGCAGCCGTGACCTTGGCGCATGAGCTGGGACACAACTTCGGCATGAACCACGACACGCCGGAGCGGGGCTGTGGCTGCAGGATGACTGTCGATCGTGGAGGCTGCATCATGACCCCCTCCACAGGGTGAGGTTTTTCACATAAACACTCAAATAAAAAAAGGTTAAAAAAAACTGAAAAAAATAACACTATAAATATAACAATAAATGTGTCTCACCTACAATATTTACATTTAAAAAAATGTGTATTAGTATTCCATTTAAATGAATAAAATTAAATAAAGTAAGACATATTATACCAATTAACATATATCAAAAAATGAAAAGAAGCAGAAGGAAGAGAGCATCTTATCAGTCTCTGTCCCTTCTTTCAAAAAAACATCACCTGAAAAACATTAAAACATACGGTAATCAAATAAATTCATATCAGACCATCAACAAACATAATGAACTTAAATTACAAGCTAAATTATCCTTTGTGCATTTCTGTTTCTTCCTGTTTTCTTTACTTCTCTTTTCCAACATGATGATCTAATTGTTTTTTTAAAAAAAACTAATTCTTATTCAATATATATTATTATGGTTTTGAAAAGCTCTTAACTTAAAGGGGAGATATTGTGACTTTTTCTCTTCAGTTATAATAATAGTAATAGTTTTATGGTTTACACTGAACTTGTTCATTAGTTTTTGCAAGAAATGACAACAGTTTTATTCTTGACGGTTTTAGTATCTTCTAGAATGAGATGTTTCAGAGCTCTGTCACTTTAAAGAGTAACTAAACCCCAAAACAACATTTTTTTGCTGATTAACTGTATAATTTGGTCTTTACAAATGCAATCATTCTGTTTGTGCATTTTTTGACATGTTTGTGCAAACTTGATTAAATCTAGAATCTAGTTCTAAAAATGTCTTAGTGCTGCCCCCTGTGGGTTGAACTGTGACTATTGCATTTTAAACTTGTGATTGACTGGGTCAGGAACAATCTCATGTCATCGGTACAGTCTCCTCCCACTCCCCCTCCCTCCCAGTATGGAAATTCCCCACATTTGGCCATGCTACTCTGTGCCTCCTGGCAATGCCCACTTTCATAGCATTTTTTAAATCTTGACTAGGAGTGGAGTTACATTTTCTGATGGTGTGCAGTCCCTCTTTAAGAAAACAAGCTAGAGCTGGCCACGCCCACTCATCCCCCGCTCAGGCTGCTGTAAGCTGAGAAGCTCCTATATTGGAAGGGGTTCAAAGTAGCTGCTCTTCCAGCATCAGCTCTCTCTTGCAGGTGAAAGACTGTTCTATTCTACTTTTCCTGTTTGTGACATCACAAACAGAAACTTTTTCAAACTGCTTGTTTTAGGCACATCATTTCATTTTTCACATTTAGACTATTTATAGAGGCAGTATAGACCCACGTGGCAGCCCCCCTCCAGTGGTCAACGGGCAATCAGGCGGGGTACACCCTGGACAGGTTGCCAGCCCTAGAACTTAACTCCTTAGCTCTAATTCCAAATGTTGTATTTTGAAGACTTCAGCTTTAAAAAAAAAGACTTCTGAATCAGGTGGGGGGAAAAAACGTAAATATTTCCACTAGTTGCTCAGGTTGGATCATATTTATCCATATGTGATGCTTCGTTGTTTTAACGCGTGAGACCCAAACAGACCCTTTAGACTAGGACTAAAGTAGCTGCTGTAACATTCTCCGCATGTTGCCTGGGCCTCAGAGATAACAGAGCTGCTGTGAGGGGATGGGCTCTGTGACTGTTAGTAAACAGCTTGCAGATAATGTGAACCCAGAGCGCAGGACCAGATTTCACCCTTGGTCCAGCGCCAGTATTGCGCTTGCCTCTTGGAGGGTCCTGCAAGGCGCAGATGAATTTTGCAAAACTAAGAAAATGTTTAGAGGCGTCACTCAAACCCCTGCCTACATCTGTCCCACACATTAATCATATCACTTGGGGATTAAATCATCCACACACTTTATGCACAAATGGGGTTTGTGCAGTTTAAGACCATAGCTGGAGACAGCTGCCAGATCTTACTCTCACATGTGCTGCTAAACCCTTTAAGATTCAGCTAAACTTTGCTTCTTTACAAAGAGCAAGTCTATGCATTTTAGTTTTCAATAACTAATTGAAAGTGCATTAGTGAGGGATCTTCTAATAGCCAATGCAAACTGTGTGAATGATCTGGAAAAAAACACAGTATAGGAAAGAATGAATTAAAGGCAGAGAGGGAGCTGCTTATTTGGTGGCTAAAGCGAGGAGACGTCCTTTAATGAGGGGACATGTTTCATTAGCAGTGCTGCAGCTTATTTAGAATGACATTAACAACAATATTGTAGTATGTGGCACAGTTATGTGTGAATTTGCTGCCACTAATTAGGGCTATCATTAAGAAAAAGCCTGACTCACCAGATGTTGACTGTTTGTATAAGACTGTGTGTGCCTTGCGTCTTTCACACATCATTCCCTCTCTTTACTTTGTCCGTGTGTCGATTTTCACTTACGCTACTGGGAATAAAGTCCTTCCAGCTTAGAGGATTTCTAAACTTTTGTAGCCTTTTGGATTAGAAATGCCCGCATATGGATTTAGGGGCAGATTTGTAAGAACATATAGTTCCCTGTACGCGACTTATTTATGACTTTATTGTGCTAGCGTGTGATTGTCTGTGTGGGGGCTTTTATTCAGGTTTACACATCAGTTATCACCAAGATAGAGTCAACAAAGGGTTAAACTGAAGTAATTATGAGTTTTGTCAACTTTTAAAATCCGATCTATGCCTCAAATGTTATGCTTGGTCATTTGTTGATTGACGAATGATAATAAAGTCAAAAATGTAGTTTTATTCATGCAAATCACCTGAAAAAGTGAGTATTACCTCCTTTACAAATGAAAAGAAGTACATGTTTCTACCATTTTCCACGTTTTTCTAATAAATGAGACTTTCTGTCATATTTTTTCATGAGCATCATCTCCGCATCCTTATGTTTAGCAGCAGTAATTTGTTTAAATTAATGCTGAATGCTGTGTGATCTGAACTCGTATTTCACTTATGTTAAAAAAAGAGGAACGAAGCATTGTTTCCTTCCTGGGGATAGTCATTTAACCACCATCCACGCAGATTCACTAATAACAGGTAGAAGTTGTTCCCAGTTGCCGTCGTGTATCGACAAAGATATTGTAGATTAAGCTGCTGTCATCTTGAGAACTCCATTCAAACAGAACATCCATCCATCCATCTTCTGAACCCGCTTTGTCCACGCAGGGTCGCGGGGGAGGGCTGGTGCCTATCTCCAGCAGTCAGCGGGCAATTAGGCGGGGTACACCCTGGACAGAGTGCCAGTCCATCGCAGGGCAACACAGAGACACACAGGACAAACAACCATGCACACACACACACCCACACACACACCCAAGGACAATTTAGACAGACAAGTCAACCTAACAGTCATGTTTTTGGACTGTGGGAGGAAGCCGGAGTACCCGGAGAGAACCCACGCATGCACAGGGAGAACATGCAAACTCCATGCAGAAAGATCCCAGGCCGGGAAGCGAACCCAGGACCTTCTTGCTGCGCGGCAACAGCTCTAACCACTGTGCCACTGCGCAGCCCTCAAACAGAACAACCTTTACAAACTGAAAAGAGGAAGGAAGCTGTCAAAAATGGTTTATTTTTGCAGCTGCTGGCAGTAAATTAGACACTCAGCAAGAATATAAAAAAAAACGTACAGAAAAATTCCAATTTTGACCTCATTAGTGAAAAATATTTTGTGATTTTTTTTTATAACAGATTAGAGTTATAGGCTTACTTTCTCTTGTATATCTCTGTCATAATTATGAATTTAGACTGGATGTTACCTGAAAGATATGATAAGAGAGCTTTCTTTCTCAAACTGACTTTGTTGTTTCGTAATAATAGATTTGAGATGAATCCTTTCACCTAGATGCGCTGACATTTAGTGGGTACTTTTGTGTTCATACACTGACACGGAAACATCAATCGCTCCCTGTTTATTTAATATTGTTCTAATTGTGTGTGTTGTTTGTGTCAGCCTTCTTGATTGGAGTCAGTGAAGATGATCATCGACATTTGATATTGCTCAGTTGTGCTGCAGTAAAACAAAAATGTGTGTGTGTTTGTGCACAACGACACGCATTGCAGTAAAGCCGTAATCGATCTTGTTTGTTGTTTGCAGACCGCACCTATCCATGCTTTTCTATTAAGTGACTTTTTTTTTCTTTAATTTCTAAGCTTCTTCTTCTATCAGCATAGCCTGTGTAGGTATGAGTGCTATTGATTTCCTTTAGGAGCTGGTCAAAAGTTCATTGTGAAGAAAAAAAATTAAGGTGCAATCAAAACGACATATTCGAGAGAAAGAATGGCCCCGATAATGGTATAATGAATTCAGCTTTTATTACTTTTTAATTAAAGGTCTGGCATCTGGCAGCTACCAAATGTCTTGACTCCAGAAGTTAATTACGGTAGTTGCAGATTTTCATCCGGTGATTGATTCCTGTGAGTTTCATAAAAATCTGTTTTGTGGTTTAAGAGATATTTAGCTACCAGACCAGGTTGACTCTAATGATTTGATTTGATTTAATAACAACATTTAATACAAAGATCCTGTGCAAACTGTTAGTAATTGGAATATATTATAGCGATGCTTTGTGGACACCAAATTTAAGCTTGGCATCTGCACAATCCAGAGTTTGGGCCTTTCTTGTGTTTGTTGTTGATTCTCTGTAGGGGCCATCTTGGTTTGGGTTGACAGCTGTCATTGTGATCATTTATCCGCTAAAATCAATGCAACTTGAACAAATTACTTCACCAAGTCACAAAGTTGGGGGCATATTTATTTTGTTTTTCTGCAGCAGCTCTTGACGGATTGAAAATGAGCCCAGACTCTGATAAAGAAGTCTACACGAGTCACAAAATCCATCTCGTCTCTCTGGTCGTGTAGAAAGGAAATATTTCAAATAGTCCGTGTTGCATTACAGTAGTTAATTAAGCTGTGTGTCATTCAAAGTTTTATTCCTGCTAAACTGGTATCAGTGGTCTTACATGCATTACTTTGATTTGGTCTGATGAGAGATTGTTTGTTCTGTCTGGACAGTTCTGCTGTCTTCTGAGTC